TATAATCATCTATTTTTTAGACAAATTTATTAATTATTAAAGCTTGAATATGCTTTGGACACTCTTAGACACTTGGACGTTTGGACGTTGGACATGGTCTAAAAAAGTCTTGGACATAGTAGACGTGACAACACTGCTCGTGCCCATGCCAAAATTTTATGCCCACGTTCATGCCCATGCTTGAGCTTTCGTGCCTGTGCCCATGCCCATGCCTAGATTTTTGTTGGGCACAGGCACGAGCCTGGGTTGCAGTAATAACTATAACACTAAAAAATTCTACATATAAAAAATCATTTAAAGAAAAACAAAACTTATTAAATATGTTCAAAGACATATGATAGTAACAACTGCCGAACGATAACTTATAATTATGATTTATATACGATCTGCTGGAAGAGAACTTTTTTCAAAAATCCGCAGGCAAATTCGCTTCCGAGACGGTGTAAGGGATAGTATTGGTCTATTGAGGTCCATTGATAAATCTATTGCTAATGGACTCAAAAAATGATGAATGACATTAAAGATTTTGAACATGCAAAAAGTCTAAAATTTTGTGTAGTCGAATTAAAACAAAATATTATTTGTAATTATTAAATAAATAAATAAAAATAGTCGTTATACTGTAAATTTATAATTTAAAAATCTGTCATTTCTTAAAAAAAAGTCAACTTTCATTGTTTTTTTTTAAAAAAAAAAAAACCCATGGCCATTTCTTTTTCAAAAATTTTTACACCCGTTAATTCTTGGATCTAATTTTAAACAGAGATACGTAACTGATTTTAGTGGCGGGTTAAAAAACACCACTCGTGATTTCTTTACGTAAGGGGCACCCAGACGATAAATTTTTTTCATCAGCCAATTTTAGCGATATCATTAAGTCTTAAAAAAGTTCACAAAATTATAATACAAAGCTGTTATAAAAAGCGGAATTTAGCTAATATTTGTGTTAATCGGTCGCAAATTCTAAACTAATTCTAAATCAATATATCTAGGTATTTACGGTACTAATTTTGCCACCACTTCTTTAATGTTTCAATTATTTTATATAGAATCTTCACCGAGGTGGAATGTTCCCTTCCTTACTATTTCCCGTTGTTTCCTTAACCACTTGCGATAATCTGCCACAGATTTAATCTTCTCACCATAATAATCGGGAGCTGGATTGCGAAGTGAGTGTAATGATGGATCTGCCCTATTCCTTTTTATATGTTCATAAAATTCACGATCCCGCTAAAAAAAAATATTTAAACGATCATAAGATAGATGAAGAGTAATTTAAATGATAATATAAAAAGATTTCTAATTTTATATCCAATTTTACCCGTTCCATTAATTTTACTTCTTCTTGATGAAATAATCTCCAAAGAGAACTTCCAAGGATCGGGCCAATTAATAACCCTGACAAACCACATACTAAAGTGCCAATACCATATATGAGAATAGGTTCTTGTCCAAATATTGGTGTTGGGTCAAATTCTCTCGTGGCAACATAAGCAAAACTCAAACCAAAGCCTCCGAGCGTAGTCGGAATAGTAATAACACGCTCGGCAATTCTCCGCCGACGTCTTAAAGAAAAATAGTCATTCCAGGAAAGCTTTCCGTCTCGTGTATAGTTACTTGATGAAATTATTTTACGTATTTGCGAATGACGAAATCTAAAATCGGAGAATGACGAAATGCAAAATCCTTGACGAAAAACGTAACCTCTAACGAAAGACGAAACTTCCGAAAATCTATTAAAAGATGAAATCCTAAGAAAGATAAAAGGATGAGCTAATAATTTTATAGATAAAAACTTTTTTTTCATGATGCGATTTTATTACTTAAGCATTAATTCATCGTATAATAAATGAATATTTTAGGTTTGAATATGTTTACAAATTCAATACAAATATGTATTAATTATTATCTTATTAATATTATTTCACTTAACTCTATATAAATTTATAAAAAATTATTTATTTCAAATGAAAGGAACTTATATTATGGGTTCTATTAGATAACTTTTTCAAAGACAAGTAATCGGTTTTATCCTTGGCATTTATTTGTCTTTGATTTAAATAACATACTAACATTCTTATAATTTTATTCTTTATCTCTTTATCTAAACAGTATACTTGTCGAAGGCATCAAGTGAGTTCGTATCGGTGAGAGATTGAAAAATCTATCATCGGTCTGATTACAAAAAATAGTGCAGGTGATATAGCGATTATCTAATCAAGATTTTTTACTAGATCTGCACAATAATTTTTAGGAATATATTATAAAAAGGTATTTCAACACTATTATTTATTATTTTTTATTAATTTTTAGGGGATGCTTAAATCTATTAATACTAACGTGATACCTGAAGAGGTTTTAACTTGAAAAAAAGTCCAAGACTAGAAAATGCTACGTACAGAAAGTCTTTCACCTCTGTATAAAGTAAATACTGATGCCAGATAGTACCTATTTTAAGTTTATTTATTCAAGTTTATTTATTTATTTATTTTTTAAATGTACAAAAAATTGAAAAGTTTGTATGCTTAGAAGGTGAGACATCAGTCACGATGGAGAGAATACTTGGTATTCTCCGTTAAGTTGTTGGAGAGACATTATTTATCTGAAGTTACATTGTCACATTTTGTAAATTATTTTGAGAATCGAAAGCGCATGATCCCGTCCGGGCTTGTTTCGGAATTTGAATAAGATGTCAGTTCCTTTACATGTTTTTCAATTTGCTTTTCTCTACTCCATTTTTCTTTTGCAGAGAGTTTCATAGTGCCTAATGGATTTTAACAGAATCCTGACAATCAAAATCCTGATAATAAAATCCTGGCAATAAAAAGTTAAAATTGTGACAGTTCCAAAATACTGACAGTAAAATTCTGATATTCCTTATTCCCTAATATAATTTTTCTAATATCTAAAATATTGAAAATCTATAATCCAAAATTCTTAATCCTGTAATGTATATAATCCTTATATTTAAAATCTTGAAGACTTACAAACTGATAGTTCTAAAAATTTTAACAAGTTTATAATTCCAAAATTCAAAATCCCAAAAATACATAATCTAGATAAATTAATAAATTTCAAAATCTAAATCCAAATAGGCTATATATATGTTGTAAGTGGATTCGGAATCCACTTAAGTGAGGTGATCTTAAAATGACTTTAGTAATGATGAGATTTTTATGCAAACGATGGATTATATTAGGGGAATTTACACAGAGGCCCAAAATGAAAATAATTACAGATGAGGGCCCAAAATAAAAATTCTTACATGTAGCGGCCCAAAATAAAAAGTTATTACAATCAAGGGCCTGTTCAATCTCCGAGCTATACTAGGAGACTAAGCTACAAGACTTACATAGCATCTCTCAGAAAAATAGTAGCGGGGTTTTTTGTTGGCT